TTTTGTCTTTCTTTGTTATTTTTATTTTTATTTGTATTTTGTCTTATTTGAGTGGGTGAAGAAACAAGGCAAATATGCTGGAGAGAGGGAGGGAAGGTCAACCGGAAGAAACAGACTCAACACTGCAAGTCAGGAGGAAAAAACAAGGTCAAAGAGCCCTCAAACAGGGCTTAGAGTACTGCTAGCTTGCCAGATGGAAAAGTGTACTTGCTATAATAGGCTGTATGAGTGACCTCAGGGAACAGACACAGAATACCTGATGCAGAATTGAGCTATTACAATGGCTAGGGTAGAGTTGTGGGACAGAAGGCAAGACAACATGCCTTCTTCATCTGACAAGATGGAGAATGAGTGATAGGATAAGAAGAGGAAGACAAGAGAGAACTATGAAATTGAAACAGCTGGGGTATTCAAAGTTATGCTATCTGTTTGTAAGCATAAATTCCCAAATAAATTTTGTTTCAAAGATGATTCTTGAAGCTTAGTAGGGATGCTGTGAGAAGTTATGATCAGCAAACATTCATGTATGGATTGATTTTTAAATACCATTATGTTATGGGGGGGAAGGATGCTGAAACTGTGAGATTTATTAAATTAACTTCATCACAGAAAGGGTTTTTTACACTTTATTTTTGTTCAACTGGAATAACTTGAACCCAGTCCGCTTTTTGGATAGTTAAACAGATTGATATTTCATTGTAATTTTATTACATCCAATGTAAACTCATCGGCCCGGGTATCCATCCATAAAATGGATCACTGTTTTTCCTAAGGAATGTAGGAACATGATAGCAAATGAACATTGCATGGTGATATGGCTTCACAAGAGTGACCATAGGCTGCTAACCAGCACTCAGTGTTCAGATGCTGGCAGAAAGCAAACAAGTACAGATGACCATGAGGGTGACTTCAAGTTAGAACGCTTGATACAGATGAGCATGAGGGTGACTGCAAGTTAGAACTCTTGCCAACAGGAGCACGGTACTTTTTTCATGGGGTTTAGGCTCCAACCCAACAGCGGTAACAGTGATGATCTGTATGACCCACTTGTCATTCTGGTGGCTTGAAGAAAGTTTTTGCATTTGATATTAGCCACAGTTGAGAAAAAATCCCATTAGATCGATCAGTAGCAATTTTTGTTCTGGTCTTTTAGGGAACCCCTATTGTTCCGGTGGCTATTGTATCAGCCTGAACCCTTGGCCCATGTTTTCACATTGGGAAGACCGAAAAGGGTGGTTGTGAGGGTGTCCTGCCTTGAGGGGGTAGTCCACCTCCACCAACCAATGGCCCAACTGAACGATGAAATATAAGTGGGCTGCTGAGGAGTGGCCGAGCCCATCCTTAGACCTCTCCAGCTTGATCAGTTAACTTCCACAACATTACAATGTTTAAATTCATTACCAATATAATCGAGGGAGGATACAGCGATTTGTTGCACTTTGAAGGTTTCTTTAAAGCATCTCATACAGTAAGTAAATCAATTACTTCTGCATTTCAAATTGGTGGCTAACTTTGGATTAGTCTGATGTTTCTTGTTTGGATGAACGCAATGGTGAACAGTTGATGACTCACTCATCGATTCCACCTGGCCGTTTGGATCTTGGTTCCGATGATCATCGAGACCTCCGACTCGTCTACAAGACCTCTACCATCCCCAAATTGACACGTGGCAAGGTTTATTGGTCACAAGGAGCTGTGGTTGGATGTAGTCGTCATGAAATGCCATTCCTGCAATGCCATGAGCTTGAATGTCCTCAAGAAAACAGTCAATCAATCACCAGGGAAATTATCAATATAACCGGAGTTGGCACGATTGTTGCCAAAATCGATTCTCAAGGGGGCTTCTTGGACTTATTTGTCCAACATGAGGTTGGAATCCGCACTGTTAGTTTGAGACATAGTACATACTGTGACCATTTCCTCAATTGATTCATTTTGCATGGCTTAACATCTTTTCTTTCCTCAGGCATTTGGAGACAAAGTCATCATGGTCAAGTATGTTGTTAACAAAAGCCAATGTGGTGAAGGTGTTTCATTGTTACTGAAGCCTGGTCAAAGAGGACAATTCATGGGAGTTCTAGCTGGGTGGGATAGAAACAATGGCACAATGGTTGTCGATGTAAGCAGGCTAATCATTTTTCTATTCAACCAATCAAGTATTGATTTCCACTTTATTCCAGATGAGGGGCGAGACTGTTGGCCCAAACAACAAATGAATTGTTGCCAATATCTTCCCTTGACCAGAATTATCATTCCAGGCACCCCCGGCCACAATCAAAACCTTCTGCAAATCTCCAGCATCCCATTCGGTCCCATCAACCAGCTAATTCGATTGTTATGCTCTTTTTTCATTCTTTTCTTGGGCAATGTCACACCATCCATCCTGTTGTCCCGGCCATGCTCAAAAAACGTATTCTCCTTGTTACTTGCTCAGACATTTGTCGATGTCACATCCTCTCTCCTGTCATCCTTACCAATGCCATGTTGAACAACCCACATTCTGCTTGTGACTGGGTCAGATGTAGCCAAGACATTGACCATCTTAGTGGTTCAGTAATTCATGTTGGGTTCTTTTTGATTCCTGTTGTCGCCAAATTCATCCCTTCTCTACTGTTGCCTGTGCCAGTCAGACACAACCATCTGAACCAGTTACTTCTTACTCACTCAGGCGTAACCAACACATGGACCATCTGAGTACCTCAGTCATCCATTTCTGGTTCAGAATTCCTTCCATTGACTGTCAATAAATATACAACATCAATTCCTCATCGGTCATTTTGTCAATGACATCTCACACACATTCCATTCTTCCATAGTGTTATAAATTTTATTCCAGTTTCGCCTCAACATTTCCAAATTATCTGTTAGGATGTCTGACATGCTCAAATGTGCTGGCTGCAACCAATGGTCCAAAAGTAGACATTTTGAAAACCATTGCCTTGATTGTATTGTCTCTCGCATTCAAGCTCCTTCCACACAACCCATCGGTCCCTCTACATCCCACACACAAATCCATCAACGCAACCTCCACACTGCAGGCCCATCCTACTCACCAATTTCCCGTCATTCTGTCAATACTCGTGATACTGGAACGCACGTTTTTTACCAAGGTTTAGCCAAAGAGGCCCGGGCATCAAAAAAACAAGAGATTTCCACCCCAAAGCCGAGGCGTGCAAGTTCCTCTCGAACCCCAGACCCCAAGTCATCACCAGAAAAACGGTTTGTAAAAGCTGGTGTCACAGTCTACATTGATGATGTCTTACAAAAAAAGACCGGAATCATTCCCAAGGTTCTGGAAGTGGACACAAAGAAGCCCAATTTCTATGAAGACTTTCGCCATCAACTATGGGGTCTCTTTTCCGATGAAATTCTGGCTAAAACTGAAATTACGTTCCCACCGGACCCCGAACAGTACACGTGCTTAGGAACAAATAATTCGAAAATCGAAGAACATAACATTCTTTTGGAACTTGCCCAAGCTGGAAAGACCATCAAGAGCGCATCAGTGATCCACTTAATCTACCAGCATCCCTTGGACAACTTTCCTGAAACCGATATCCCCACACAGTCTCGTACAAACCAGAAGAGGAAATATCAAGGAGATCAATCAAAGGCTTCCAAGTCGGCGGCCTGGGCTCTTGGAGGAAAGATTGCAACCAAACCGGTGAGAGGATCAGCTAGTCTATCTTCCCAAGTTGACACCCTCAGCCACCCCATCAGTAGTCAGTCAATCACCATGAAGACCGATGGATGGATTCCAGCCTTACGCCTACATTTTTATACCATTAACGAACAACCCCCTCCAGAAGCATCACGCCAATCATTCACCATCAACGATTACATACATGCAGTCACCTTTCCATTCGACATCAAAGTCGATAGTGGAAAGGTTTTAGGGGAGGGCAGCAGTCGTCGCTCTTACCCGGCTCAAGTGCGCTCCATTGAAAATGGCCGAGAGGTCATCAATAAATGGGTTGCCAAGCTACGATACTCCGACAGCACCCCCAATGTAATCAATCATGCAAGTGATGCCATTACCTACCGTGGTTTTGGCCTTATCCTAGCTGAATTCAAAGACTTCATTAGTAACAAACTCGATGGTGTCCTCAAGGTCAAAGGGAATCAAATTGAAGTCCGTTGCGTTTCCTTTCTTTAATTACAATACGTGTTTGATGAATTACATTCTAAAGCAATCTTTTATACTGCAGCTTGTTAGGCATTGCGTTGTAGTTGTTGGAAAAGTTGACAATCCAACAAATGTTTACTTCTTTGAGAGTTACCTTGTTGGAAGCTTTGTGAAATATTCCAGCAATCTCAACTTCAATGTCTCAGCAAACCAAAAGGGAATGGACGTGGATTATCTTTCACTGATGAATGCTTTGACCCATTGGTCTTACAATCAATCAAAAGGACAGCGATTAGTCTGTGATCTTCAGGGATTTGGGGCCATTCTTACTGATCCACAAATGGTTGATTTGAATGCCAAGTGAGTTAATTAATCAATGTCCAATCTTTTCATTCATTATTTTTTAACTAACTACTTTGTAGTTCTTGGGCGGAGGGGAATAGCGCTGGTGATGGTATTGCTGCTTTTTTAGAAGAGCATATTTGTACCACAGTCTGCAATATTCTCCACCTGGGAAATGAAAACAAGGCAGTAGACTTAAAATGGACGCGGCCAACCCCTCGTCAACCATTAGCCTTTGATAGGATACTTGCTTCAAAAAATCGGGGTGTCTTCGATGGCTCAGACATTGGTAGCTCTGAGGATGGTGATTTGCCAGAGGTTATTTGGCAATAAACTTGTTTGGAATAATTGTAAATAGTTCTTCGTGTCATAGCATTTTTTTTCTTGTTCAAACTTATTTGCCTCATTTTTACCATCTGCCTTTATGTCATCAGAGCTTCTTGTTCAGAATAATTGTACATAGTTTTCACTTTCTCATTGTATATTTTTTTTCTCAATGGCCACCACAGTTTCACCCTATCTTAAACCATTCTCTCTGTGTCACAAATATAGGGAAAACCAAATGACACGAGAGCACCCTCTGCACGCATGCATTCCTTTTGGAGATCCCATCACTGTGTTGATCCTTCAGTACAACCACCAAGATCTGTGGGATACTCCCCACAAACCTTAAGGTGGTCAACTTCAAGATCATCATTGTGTCGGACGCCTTGGAAAGATTGCCGCAGAGGGGCCGGTCAATTGGAGCGGCAAAGAAAGGTGCAGCGAGGAGAGGAGCTTGTAGGCCTAGGCGTTCAAGTCAGTATTCTTGGTGAGCTCAAGTGGGAGAATAGATTACGAACCCCTTTGGACGATGTGGAAGAGTCAAGGCCTGCCTACCTTGATGTTCCCTGCAAGTGAAGGTACCCAGGATGCAACAAGAGATTACTTTGAGAGGGAGATAGGTGGCACTGACGATATAAGAGTCGATATTGGGCATGAGCTGGTGCAGCATATCAGCCGCCAGGTCAGCGTGAGCGTTCTTAGCGGCCGGGCAGCAAATCGTGGTGGGGGGTGAGATCGGCTTCTGTGCAAGGCTTGCGCCAGTTTAAAAGCCCACAGGACTGAGCTCCTGGAACGACACCGCCGGCTCGGGCTGCTTCTTGGCTAGCTGCCATTGGATCGGCGCTGGATGAGAGACTGATCAATACCAAGAGATGCAGGAGCCATGGCGGCAGATGAGATAGCTGGAGTGGGACTTTTGACTGACAGGGTCGCCGGCCCAGTTGGGGTCACTCCATACCTCGAGGTCGAAGGTGGTCGGGCGGCCTTCTGCTCCCTCGCCTTGAGGTATTTCCAGCATTGCGAGCGCTCCAACCAATGGCTCATCCCGGGCTTCTCCGTGAACTGCGACAGACTCGAACTCGCATACATCACATCCGGCCTCGTCGTGCTTGCAATGTGGTTCAGAAGCCCAACACTGTTGGTAGTTCAAGCCGTTCTCTAGGAAGACCTCGTGCTCTTCGTCGCTGGCTTCGACGAGCTGGAGCTTGGGTGTCGAGGGTGTCCCCACATCTTCCACAATCTCCTCGTCCAACTTCTTCCGCGTAGGGACTTGTTGATTTGTCTGGGCTGGGAAAGATAAAGACGGTTCGAGTCTGCACTCCTGCTGATTTGGATCCCCAGGATTGTGTCCACATCATGCAAGTTCGGCATGTTCGAGAATCGGGGGGCTAAGGTCAGCGCTTTGAAGCTCGCGATATCGACAATGACCAAGATACTATTGATCAAGAAAAACACACCAAACGAGTGGCCAAGGTACAGGAAGGGTCGGATTTCAATCGCTTGAGCTAGTGGTCCTCAAGCCAAGTGGCGACCGTCTTGCATCGACTGGCCGGCGTCCATTTGGGCTGCTGATCGGGTCTTCTACAATAAGTGAGTGGGTCTCGCTCTCTATGATCCGGCCAGGGGAGTGAGTGATGAGGAATGTTGAAATGCGAGACCTGGAGTAAGGGTGCTATTTAAGGCAGTTAGTGAGTCCTCTTTTTGTGTCAGTAGTTAAGTGGGGTGCTGAATTGAGAATTACGTCGGTAAACTTTCTAGGGTCCTCTTCTCTTCCGGTTTGGCTGCTGGCTGGGATCAGACTGAACATCAGTGTGCGGTTTCCTTCGATAAGCCGGTTGAGGATCGATAAGGAGAACGGGGCCGATCGACGGAAGAGTACCCCCTCATTTTACCAGCCGATCAAACGATGAAAACTACGCAGTGCGGGATGATGTCCCAAGGTCGGCAGGTATCACCACGGTTGTCACCTCGAAGGCATCATTGAAATGTCGGGCCCATGAGCCCGGCCAAGAAGGGGGAAGCCCGCTGGGTAGTGCCAGTTCGGTCGATTCTGTTTTTCTTTTCGGGGGTGAGGTCGTACATATGTACATACAGCATACACAAGATGCCAGGTTGGGAAGTGCAACTGGCATCTTCGAATACAAAAGTCAAAACACAAAGGCAAAAACTGCCTGTAAGGTCAAAAAGCCCTGGCGCGATTGGTGTCGGTCCAGGGCTTCCGTAGGGGGCAGAAGTTGGCCGGTAAGCTCAGGATAGGACCCCGGAAACCCCCTATAAATGTGGGTGACAAAAATGTATGAATTTTTTTGGAAATAACCAAAATGTTACTCACAAAATCTGTATGAATGACCTTTTTTGGTAGTAAGCATACTCACCTCAGATGTATGAAATTTTTTTTGGGGGAGGAGGGGTGGTAACAAAAAATGTATGAAAGTCCTGGGTGTGCACAAGTGGTAATTTTTTGCACACACCCCCCCCCCTCGGCAGCATGACTTGGCCTGAATTTTTGCCTCTCCCCCTCCCCCAGCCTCCCCCCTCACCAATAAAACTTCTAGTTTTATGTACTCATCTCACCTACAACAATTCAATACTTTTTTTGTTGTTTTTCTTTGTGTTGGCGTGTGCACCAACACAGATCGGCGCCCCTATAGTTAGCGAGAAAGGCTTGCTGCAAAAATGGGCTTTGAGCCTCTCAGGTGAGAAAAAAAATGGTAGGCACAAAGAATGTATGAAAATATTGGAAATCCCCTGAGCATACGCACGAAACGTGTATGAATGGGTTCCAAAAATGTATGAAATTTCACAAAATATTGGATTTTTCGTCACCCACATTTGTAGGGGGTTTCCGGGGTCCTCTCAGGATGTCCTACTTATGTGCAGACTTGCAAGGGTTATTTTGATGTATGGAGGGAGAGTGCATATATTTAATTACTTTTTTCCCCATCCTGGCTGCAAACGTTTCGAAGCTTTAATGTCTGGGGAGCTCCCTTTTTTTAAAGCATTGACGTTCATCAGACACTAGTGTAGTGCTTTCTCTGCATGGCCGGGTTACTCTCGTCTGCCTTCAATCATCTAATTCGCTTCTCCCCACGTCCCTTGTCTAAGGTTCTCTGCAAAGATATGTGAACTCATGAGGCGCAGATGCAAAGCCTTCTTGTACTGGCCTTGTTTTATGGGGTATTCTATAACTTATCTTGTCACTTCAGTGAAGCTTTTTTTGCTTTATTTTTTTTGTTAATCAGAGTTGGAGTTTACCTGTTTTAGTCTCTAATATATTGCATCATTAAAAGGTTAGTACAACGCAGCAGTGGCCTCTACTCCAACTTTCACCTGGATATCTGTGAGCCAGAACAGCAGTCTATCATACCAAAACAAAGCAAAGATGAATACAATAAGGACGATTTGCTGTACTAGTCTCTCAGACAAGAATTATATATCCAGCCTATGAAGGAAGGCCCTCATCTTCCTATGGAAAGTCCTCACAGGACACTCTGGCTTTTATATAAGATCCTAGCTGCTACATTGACTCATGGTTGGCCATCCAAAATTCAAGCCAGCAGTTTGCTTTGATCAAGACGGGCAGATGGCTCTCTCTGTCACAGCTTATATATGTCACACTTCATGGAGGCTTTTGGTAAGCTTTTTCACTAGAGACACATGAGGATGGCAGAGTTTCAACCTCGACAAAAGCAAAAAATTGAAATAAATACTTAGTATGATTGATTACAACTCAGGCCCAAGAAACTCATGAGTACAGTTTTCTCAGCTATCTCACATACATTGTTGATCCATTTTTTTTTTTTTGCTCTGGAGTAGTCTACAATCTCTACGTCAAGCGCTGAGTGATGGGCGGAGTAGCTGAAACTAGGGCTTTTACAGTTAGGATCTGTATACATAGACCGCAGCCCCATCATCGATCGGTCCCTGCCGAGCCCGAACTTAGCCAAGTCCCTCGAGCTCGCGGGAGCGAGCTCCCTCCCGCACTGACACTGGGGACTTGTGCTATAAGTTTGGCCGAGCCGAGGCTGTCAATTCTTCTGAAGACCATGCGAAAAACCTGCGGTGTGAACTGGTTTTTGTAGACCTGATCAGGCCAATGGATTGGAATTACGCAGGCCCTTGGATCGGTCCGTGCCGACCCCAATATCAGTTCGTCGGTGGCCCAGACAAAAAAAAAACCTGTTGCGTCTGCTGGTTTATATGTACACCGTAGGCCAATGGATCGGAAACACGCCCTCATGAAACTGCGGTCTGTGTGACACCGCAGGCCAGTTGATCAGACCGTTAAAAATGCTGTACTCCACCTTTGTCTACATCGGTCAACTCTGCTCTATCAGACTGTCTCCTGGAGCGGCGGTTGCTTGTGTCAATGCTTCGAATCAAAGATTTATATGTTGATAGCTTTGCAGCATGCAAATGTTTCACTTATGATTACTGCAACATGAACCAATGAAACAACATGAAATAAGAAGTCTTGAGCGGCCTCCCTTGGACACGTCAACAAGATATCCTTGAATATATGTACTTGCATCCTAGAGGTATCATGTGCCCTTGATATCACAACCTGCAACCTCCTGATGGTTATTCAGCATCTTGATATTTTCTTGAAAAAAATGTTTCCGATTTCTCTCTTGGTGGCCATCATGGTTAGATATTCCTATGATTGTTTAGATTATAGATTACAAAGCTGCATGAAAATGCTAATCACGCATTCTATAAAATGAAAGGTTTTTCAAGGAATAGTTGCACCAGCAATTATCAATCCAGCCAATCAAATTGGTAAATGAATGTCTCATTTTCACACAGAACCATCCATCACAAGACAAACTGAATACATCTTGTTTGCTATCAAATTTCTAGCTGCTATTGATGAAAGGGGTCTATTGAAATCTGGTCACCAGCTCATGAAGCGTACAGAAAATCCTGTGAGTGATTTGCTTGTGGTTTTCTACAATACAAGATCCTCAGGAATCTGATGTTTCAATCTAATGATGGGTTATAAATTAATCTAGGCAAAAGATCCATCCAAGTTATGCCGGGTCTGTGGAATACCTGGTAGAGTAGAGGGAAAGGAGCAATGCATAATTTGCAACCAAAAACCTGTAAGCAATATCCTCAAATTCAAGTTTGACCCTGAAAGAAATCATAAGCTTATGTATCTTGTGTCTTCTAGGATAGTGGTAGTTTGTCATTTCTACCCCAATGCTGCAATCCTGAGTGCAAGAAGCAAGGCATTATGAAGTGGACGCCTGGGACAACATGGTATCATTGCCCTACATGTTATTCCCGTCTTAGTGTGGCTGCTAAGTTGAATCACTAGTGATGAGATCAAGTCCTTCCACACATCCATCACCAAAGGAAAAATTTGGTCAGCATGCAAGTAAATATGCAGTCTAAAGTAGCAATCCTCTATTTATCCTTATATCCAATTTCATCATATGCTTTCAAAAAGTTGTTCACATCATTCTCTATTTGCAAGTTTATCCTTACTTATCTCTATGCTCCCAAGAAATACAAGAAGAGATGAAATCACAAATACTGTCCTCTTCCTCTTCAGACACATCCCCTACAAGAAAAATTCAGGCAACTGTATACGGTTGACATGTGTGTAAACAGTGCCTTTGTAATATCACATGTCAACTGTACACTGTTGCCCGGATTTTTTCTTGCAGTGATCAAGAGTGCCAGTTATGCAGAAATAACCAAATCACTTTTGGAACACTGGCTCTGCATTTCTCGCACAAATTCAATCAATCAAATTTCACTTGAGAGACATCTGAAGACACCTTTGCAAACCTTGCACTTTGAACCGTAATCAGCCAAACAAGCCAATCCAACTTGACACATAGATTTTGCAAGAATTGTGTCAAGGGGAGGTTGAATTTTGTAAAGGGATATTGATATTTACAATGTTGTACATAGCCACTTTGCTACAGAAAGCAAAGCATAGCGGATTTCTCTTTATATGTTGATAGCTTTGCAGCATGCAAAAGTTTCACTTATAATTACTGCAACATGAAATAAGAAACTTCAATCTGTGTCTCTTGGACACATCAACAAGATATCCTTGAATATATATACATGCCTTATATAGGTATCATCAGCGGTGGGCCACTACGCTACACTACGCTACGGGCCCATGTAGCGTCAGCGTAGCGGCGCCAATTTTTTTTTTTTTCGTGTAGTGTTAGCGCGCCGCTACGGCCGCTGCGCTACGCTAATTTGTAGCGGCGCTAACACTAACCTTTTTTTGGTGTAGTGTTAGCGCGCCGCTGGCGCCGCTACGCTGCGTTACGCTACGCTACAGCGTTTTTAGCGGCAAAAAACCGCAAAAAACCGCTAAAAACGGCCGTAACGCAGCGTAGCGGGCAGTTTTTGGCGGCCTGTGCGTGTAGCGTTAGCGCAGATGGGGGGAATTGCGCTAACGCTACGCTAAACGTTAGCGCACGTTTTCGCCCCATGCGCGTAGTGTTAGCGCAAAAAAAAGAAACAAGCGCTAAAGTAACACTACGCTAAATTGTAGCGAAAAATCGCTACACTACGCTACGCTAACGCTACGGTTAGCGTAGCTGGCCCACCGTTGGTATCATGTAGGGTTCCAATCCGGACCCCAAAGGTCTGGCGCTACCCAACCGGATAAAGGGTGGGGTCGGTTCAAAGGATGACTCTAGACATACCTGGTATCCAATCAGGTCTTGATATGCCTAGAATTATGCCCTGTATGGCAGAAATTCAGGGTTTTGGGGGGTTTTGGACCCTCTTTTTTGGTTTCTTTTTTTTTCAAAATCAAAAATTAGTTTTGGTATCTCCCAAACTGTTTGGTGAAGTTTGGGCTGGAGGCTCAGATCTGTTGGGTACCCGGAATTGGAGCCGGATATGTTGGGTTCGGATCTCAGGAAGGCAATACCCAAGCCCGGAGGCCCGGATTGGAACCTTAGTATCATGTGACCTTGATTCCAAAACCTGCAATCTTCTGATGGCTATTCAGCATCTTGATATTTTCTTGAAAAAAATGTTTTTGATTTCCATCTTGGTTGCTATTATGGTTAGATATTCCTATGATTGTTTTCATTATACATTATAAGGCTGCATGGAAATGCTAATCCCACATTCTGCTTTTCACTTTTAACAGTAATCAGCCAAACAAGCTGATCCCGCTTTACACACAGATTTTGTAAGAATTGTGTTAAGGGGAGGTTGGTAAGGGGATATTGATATCTACATTGTTGTAGCCACTTCTCTACAGAAAGAAAAGCACAGCATATTTCTCCTCCACTTTTCTACACTTAAGTATAGTGCTGGCCTGCCTCTGCTTCTGCTTCCAGGGTTTTTCTAAGTGCAATCCTGCAGCAGTGATGAAGTGGGTAGTGCACTTAGTTTAGCACTATTCAGTGACCTTGTTGCTTTGAAGTGGTTTGTGCAGCGGTGGGCTGCTACACTTTTGGCCCAAAAAGCGTAGCGTAGCAGCACTTTTTTGTGCCAAAAAATCATAGTGTTAGCAGATTTTTAGTGGATTTTTGTTATGCTACTCTGCGCTACAGGCCACTAACACCACTACAGGGCCAAAAAACCGCTAACCAGCTTGTTAGCGTAGCATAGTGGGCCTTTTTTTGGGGCATATGCTTATAGTGTTAGTGCAGATGTGGCGGAATTCCGCTACGCTACACTAAAGTTTAGTGGAATTCCGCTACACTACGGTTAGTGTAACTGGCCCACTGTTGGTTTGTGTAGCCGGGTAATTGCACTTTTTTCAGAGGCATGGGAGACAAAAAAAGCAGAAAGGGACAGAATAGGGAGAAAAAAGTAGCTTTGGGAATAGAAAGGAGTGATTTGAAAATGAAAAATGTCAGCCTCTATGCTACTAACCTGAGTGGGTTGTGCTATGAGTGTTAACAAGAAGTGTAAAGTGATGGTTTATTCGTGGTAAAAATCCCTCAACCTGTAAAAGAAACAGGGAGGAGTCAGTGAGGAATGTTACTTCAAGGGTGAAACAATGCGATAAATAGCCATGTATTGGTATCACATCAAAAAAGTGATGCATTTCATCGGTATTGCATCGAAAAAGCAATGCATTGCATCGGCATCGTATCGGAAAGAAATGCAAACCAATGCCACCAAATTTAAGTGCATCTCTTTGCCAATGCAATACTGATGCACTGTATCAAAGAATCCGATGCAAGCAATGCCATGCGGGGCCCCGCATCGCTCTTGCAATGCGATGCAATAAAGGCCCGATACGATGCAATACCTATGCATGCATCACATCAGTTACATTGTTGGTTACTTCTACTGCTGACACATCAAATTGTTAAATTGGGCATCCAGATCAATCCTGTTACGTGGATTAATAGGCTTTCAATGTGAGGAATTCTTCTACTCACTTGGGATCAAGTCTTTTAACAACAATCCAGATGAATAAGTTCATGTACAGTGGGTGGACCGTTGTTTTTGGCTGCTTGTTTTGGATCCCAGAGCTTCAAAGCACCAGATTAAAGTCATGATACTTGGTCAATTGGTGCAGAATAGGTCTCAAAAAATGAATATGAAAAAATAAAAACAAAAAACAAAGTTTCAAATTTTGTGAAAAATAAAAAATAAAATTGATTTTTTTTCAAAAGTGCGTGCAGAGAGAAGGAAAGAATGGAAAGTGGGAAGAATGATTAAAAATGAAAATTTTGGAAAAAGTGGTTACCAGATAGTTTTAACCAGTTGTTGAGTGGGGCATTCACCAGCTCACATTGCAGTAAAGCACTAGAATTTACTGTTTTGACTCCAATCTGGACAACCAACCTGGCTCAACCTTTTTTGGTTCCAATTTTTTTCATTTATAATCATTCTTGCCATGTTCCACTCTTTGTTTCTCTTAGCACTCCCACTCCCCCTAGAGATCATTTGTTCGTACTCGGGTACCTGTTGAATTTTTTCAAAAAATAGGTACCAAGTACCGCACCAGGCACCTCCCGGCGGGTACCGACGGTACTTTTGGCGGGTACCTCCCCTCTCTTTCTAACCTATGTTCACTTTCAGATTACCAAGTCACTTTTTTATTATTATTTTTTTCATATTTATTGTAAAATATCAGTCCCAAGTCACTTTTTTCCATTCTTTCATATTTATTGTGAAATGTTGACAAAAAATTGGAAGAATCCTACTTTGTTATTATATTTTCATATTTATTGAAAATATCATTCCCAAGTCACTGTTTTTCCTTTTGTCATATTTGTTGTAAGACATCTTAAACTAATTGGAAGAACCTTACTTCATTATTATTATTATTTTCATATTTATTGTAAAGTATTACTCGAGTCACTTTTTTGGCATTTTTTTCATATTTGTTGTCAAGTATCTACATCTCATGGGAGGAATCTTGCCTTTTTTCATATTTATTGTAAAACATCAATCCCAAGTCAACACATTTAATAATTTATTTTAAAGCTTAAACTGTCTACAAATTATATCTAATTAGATTATTAGAAGAATCTTCATCGTTGTCCAAAATTATCACCTTCCTTTTTGATTTTTGGTTAGACTTCTTGTTATCCTTGAGTCCCTGTTTCCATGTAGCCAAGGTACCTTCTTGGAGTTCTTGGAGTAGAAGGCCACCATCACTTTTGTAGGGAAGTGAGGGGGTACCTGTTCAATTTTTCACAAAAATAGGTACCAAGTACCGCACCTGGCACCTCCCGACAGGTGCGGGGCGGGTGTGAAGGGTACCCCCCAAGCGGTACTAGGTACCTAGCAAAGGGTACCACGGAACGATCTCTAACTCCCCCAAAATGAATAACAAAGCTTTTGGAAAAAAACATTTTTATTTTTTATTTTTCACAAAATTTAAAACTTCGTTTTTTGTTTTTATTTTTTCATATTCATTTTCTGGGACCTATTCTGCACCACTTCATTTTGTGCTTTGAAGCTGTAGAATCCAAAACAAGCAGCCAAAAATAATGGTCCACCCACTGTACACTTAAGGACCAGAATTGTTTAACCAGGGGGATAATTCTTTATGCAGTAGAGATAAGTAGAAATGCCTTGACACTATAAACAATACCAGTTTCGCCCCAAGAAAAAATGGCAATTTGGGTGGTGGAAAATAGGTCAATCTCCTGAGGCTTTTTTACAAAATGGCTCAGGAGTAAAAATCAGGCTAAAATGAGCTATTTTAGCCAAAAAATAAAAATGCCTCAAATGAGCTAATTATTAATTTTGAAATGTTTGAGGCATGTTTATTTTTGGGCTAAAATAGCTCATTTTAGGCTGATTTTTACTCCTGAGTCATTTTATAAAAATGCTCAGGAAATTGAACTATTTTCCACCAACCAAATTCCCATTTTTTCCTGGGGCAAAACCGGTATTGTTTGTAGTGTGAATCTGAGCAAATTGAATCTATTTAGGTCTAAGGTAGCTGAGTGGTAATGTTATTGGTGGTTTGAATCACTAATAATCACGATACAAGTGTTGGTTTGGGGGGTTGATAACCGCAAGCCAACCCCCCACGCGCACGCCAATCTGCACGCCAGCTGCAGATTGGCGTGCGCGCCTGCACGCCATTGCAGAATGGCGTGCAGGCAGGCAAGCCATCCGCCTGCAGGTTGGCGTGCCTGAGTGCACGCCCAACCTTAGGTCCTAAACGCATATAAAAGGTCCTAAACGCATATTTATATGCGTTTAGGACCTGGGCCGTCCCATAGGACCCAGGCATGGGTCCTATGGGACGGCCCCATTTTTCCTTTTTTTTTTCTCTTTTTTTTTTTTTCTTTCTTTTTTTTCCCCCTCGGCCTAGAGAGGCCGAGGTCACACCGCCGGGAGGAACCCCTCCCGGCGAGCGGTGTACAGTCCAGCGGAAGGAAACCCTTCCGCTGGAGGAGGTACAGGTACCTCGTCCATCGGATTGGACGAGGTAAATACGGACCAAAGGGAGGAAAGAGAGACGACAAGAAGGGAGAGGAAATGGTCAAGAAAAACAATCATGATGGTCGGCTTTATCAGGAGGCCGGAAGTAGCCGTTGGAAGAATCCTGCAAGCCGTCGATTTTGTCTTCGCCGGACGACAGTAGAGTCTGATTGCGTTCTTCAGGGAGCTGTTTGTTGTCGAGGATTTCGAAGTCATCGAATGGATTATTGGTAGGATTAGTAGGGAGCGCGCTTAGGCCAGAGCGGCGAAGAGAGCGAGAGTGGTCGCCGGAAGGGTTGAGAGGATATTGCGACTTGAGCTCGACAACCGAGGGCACACTGGAGTCTTCTGATGACTGCCGCCAATGGCCCCCGTACGAGGATTCACTCAGCTGCTCCGGCTGATGATGACCAACACTCGACGGCGACCGCCGCTTCTTGATCGGACGCTCAGCTTTGATCATCACCATCCCCACCGCCTCTTCCCGTCCGATCGCCGTCTGTTGTGCCTCTCCTTCCGGATCCGCTGAGCTGGAGTATTCCCCAATCGGCTTCGCCTTCGGCCCCGCTCCTTCGACTCGCTTGGCCGATAACATGCACACCCCGATCACTAAGACTCCTATACATAACCAGATCATCTACCTTGTCCAGCGGAAGGAAACCCTTCCGCTGGACTGTACACCGCTCGCCGGGAGGGGTTCCTCCCGGCGGTGTGACCTCGGCCTCTCTAGGCCGAGGGGGAAAAAAAGAAAGAAAAAAAAAGAGAAAAGAAAAAAGGAAAAATGGGGCTGTCCCATAGGACCCATGCCTGGGTCCTATGGGACGGCCCAGGTCCTAAACGCATATAAATATGCGTTTAGGACCTAAGGTTGGGCGTGCACGCAGGCACGCCAACCTGCAGGGTATACCCCTGCAGGTGGATGGCTTGCCTGCCTGCACGCCATTCTGCAATGGCGTGCGCGTGGGGGGTTGGCTTGCGGTTATCAACCCCCGTTGGTTTGATGCTACTAGAATTTCCTGGGGGGAAAACGTAGGAATCTGGGCTCCTTAAATATTCTACAGGGGGCTCAGGGGAAGAGGAGAGGCCCTCAGGGCACTAGGGAGCTTCTTAGCAGCTCTAAAATTTTGTGTAAGGATGGGAACTGCAGCTGTGCAGTGCTATGCATAGGTGGAAGGTCCTAGGACATGAGATCATACATGCATAATTGAGTTTTGTGGCCTATTTCTCACGTAATTGAAAAGGCTACAGTTACTGCGCAGGTGCTGTGCAATTGTAGAGTTGGTTGCATACATGTAACTCTGCTCATGCAAGCTTGAGATCATGAGAAATGCTTGTCCTTCATGCATAATTCAGTCTTGCATGTAGAATTTGGGCTCCTTTCCCGTGTAGGCCACTTTGAACTATGCAAGATTTGAATTGGAGCACAAAAGGGTCCTGATGACGCCATCCAAGAGGTCTCTGATGCAATATTATCCCCTCATTGTAAGGTTGATCAAGGATGGGTA